ATGACTTGTAATGTCAAGCGAATATTTTAAAAATTGTTAGAAATATTTTTAAATTTTTTAAAAAATGTTTCAGTAGGAAGGCCTCGAAGACCAGTAGGTCATATAAGGCTCTCTAATTTTTTAAAATAGACCAGGCTTGGCCTATGAATAAAGTCTTTAGTAGGCCAATAGGCTAGATAGAATGAATATTTTTTTACGTAGACTTAGGCCAAGAAAGTCAAAGCCCAGCCCAACCTGACCCATTTACACCCCTACTTGCTCGTGTATGATGAAGTCTCTGCATTGTTAGCATACAAGATGGTCAGCAAACGATATTGACTAAATCATTGGGGTATTTATTTCAAAAGTGCATTAATCTGATGATTATTTTTGAAGACGCGTACAGTAAAAAAGCTTCATTTATTGACAAAATAGAGTAATTAATCGAGGCAATTATGGACAAATAATAAATAATTTGACACTCAAATTTGAAATTAAAATTCACTCATGAATATTTATAATTAATGGAGAACTCACACACACACATATATATATATATATATATATATATATATATATATTTCATAATTAAAATAAAAATATATACAATTAAAATTTAACATAAAAATATAATACAAATGAAAATGCTTATATTATAATATAAAATTCTAAAAATAATAAATGTTTCTAAATAAATAGAAATCCTAAAAAAGGAAATTATTTAAAATAAAATTAATTACGCTTACTTTTTTATTATGTAATTCAAAATTTAAAATATATCCCAAATCTTAAATCTCAATACAAGCTTAATTTGTTCTTTTTCAATCTTTTCCAACAAATTACAATCAACTATGCAGATTTGTTTAAATTGAATTTTGATTGAAAATTGCTAAATATTAAATTGATTTTTCCTTACGTGACTATTGATGATAGATTTGGACCTCTGAAAACTGGACCAATTATAAGTTGAACCAATTTACTAAAAAGAAAAACTTGAACCATATCCATTGATGCCACGTGATAATTCTGAACCAATTTACTAAAAGTTATACCTTTATTATTATTTTATAATTTCCAATGAGCATTCAATAAGCATTCTTATAACACAAGTATTAATTTATATTTAAAAAATAAAAATATGACAACAAACTAAGTTAAATGGAAACAAAGTATAATTCAATTTAAATTTATAATATTATTTTACATCTCTAAATGAAAATGTGAATTCATGCACAAAAGGACACTGTAATTGCACGTCATATGCACCTGAATACAAGAGACTGGCTTTTTTTAAATTGAGAATACAATCAACACGTGGGTCTTGCTTAATATGAGAAAACAAACAAACACAACAAAAGGCTAATGCTAGGAACACAAAACATGACTGTGTCTTTAGTTACAAGCCGCGAAGCGAACTCTCTCTTGCTCGCAACAAAATTAAACTTCCATTTTCAATGAATTGAAACATTTAAATAATTCATGAGACATTTATTTACTTATTTTAATTTGGGCCTTTTGTCTCTTTAGCTCTTATTTTTTTCCTTCTTCTCTCATTAATTATAGCCAACCTTCTTATTACTCTTCATTCTTTATCCTTTTTCTTCGTTTTATCAGTACGTCAATATGGTAATGCAATCGTGGGAATTGAAAATATTTTTTTTCCTTTGTTGTTGTTTTGATTTTGAAAATCAGTAACTACATGGTTGACTCATCCTTTGCCATTTTGAGAAACAAAGAGCTGAGAAGGAAAGTTCATCAGTTTACAATCAATGGGTCCTCATGTCACACATATTTATATGCTACCTGCTTAATCACTGAGACTTTGAGAGAGAACTCAATAATATTTTTTTAATTAAAAAAGAATAATAATTCATAAAAAAATTTCAAAAAATGCTTATTTCTTTTTTTCCGTACGTTCAAAAGCATTTGTGATTTTTTTGTCACTTTCTCAGAAAAATTATGTTCTCCTACTTATTTGGTCCGGAGAAGTCTCTCTCCAATTTGGAACGTTTTCTTTGACACATCACTTTAGATGATTTTTTTTGAGTTTCATTTGTAGTGAATCTTCTACTTCAATTCTCGAAAATAGTGTTGCAAACAATATGTATGGCTCTTTTTTCACTCTTGAATGTTATACCATCGCGACCTACAAATTTACAATCATTGTGGAAGACAACTATACGAACTATTTTTATATTTGAACTTATTTTTGAGACGATAATAGAAGATACAAAGAGGGTAAGTTAACTGACTCAAAATGTGTTATAAAATTTTCAAGGTGAGCAAGGTTATGTAAGAATTTGGGAAGGGAGTTGGTATAATGAACGGTCAGGACAGAGCCATGTGGCATCATCCTGGAAGTCTTGCAAGGTTGGCATGCGAGACTAGGTGGTAGATATGTTGCACGAGCACAATCGTGTCACATGACTTAATCTAGTGAGTTATGTATATTGACAATATGGTATTAGTCGCGCACGCCATCCATATAGGACTTGCCAGCGTATGACAAAGTTTCCGCTTGCTAGTAGGGTTGGCAAAACGGGCCAATCCGACTCAACCCAACCCAACCAACGTTTAACCCGAAAAAAATGAGGGGTTAGGGTTGACTCAAAAAATAAACAAGTCTGAAAACTCAACCCAACCCGACTTGAGTAGGGTTAGGGTTGGCTCAAAAAAATGAAAAATAAAATAAAATTCTATTAATGCTATAACTTCTAAATTTTTCCCCTAAATTATTAATTCATTCAATACAAAGACATATAGATAAATCATAGAAATTTCCTTTTTCATTTGGACTTGGACTTATTGGCAGTTGGCATCACATTCATACTGTCACGCATACTATAAAAAAAGGTCCTTAATGCACGGTTTTGGACTTATTGGCAGTTGCAGGGTATTTTCGTTTGGGTCTTTGGAATTGAGATTTTAGGTTTTAGCTTTCCACTTTACCCTCATTAATTTTTATATTAAAAAAAATCATAACCTGCGAGCCAACCCGTTGACCCGTGGTTGGCTCGGTTTTTTTCGAGCTAAAACGAGTCGGGCTGACTCGAGTTACTAACTCATTTTTCCTAACCCAACCCGACTCATTTTAGTCGGGTTACGAGCCAACCCGATGGGTTGGCTTATTTTTGCCAAGCCTACTTGCTAGCATCCTTGGATAATTTATTTCAAAAGTGCATTAATGTCTCGATTATTTTTGAAAACTGTGAAAAAGTCCCATTTATTGACAAAATGAAGTAACTAATCAAGGAAATTATGGATAAATAATAAATAATTTGACACTAAAAAATGAAATTAAATTTCACTAATGAATATTTATAATTAATGGAGAACTCAAAAAAATTTATGAGGAGGCACACATTATATATTTATATATATATATATATATATATATATTCTCGTTTTTAAAATAAAAACTTATACATTTAAAATTTAATATAAAAATATAATACAAATGAAAATGTCTATATTATAATATAAAACCTAAAATGATTTTATCATTAAAATCAAGATAATATTTTGTGAATTAATAAAATTCGCCAAAATTAGATGAAATTTAAGGTTTTTGTGCTCCAGAACACACATTAAGAGATAAAACCTCAAAGCTTTGGACTTAATGTTTATCCTTTAAAACCCAAAGTATTAAAATCAAGATAATACTTTATACCTCTATTATTATTTTATAATTTCCAATGAACATTAAATAAAAATTCTTATAACACAAGTATTAATTTATATTTAAAAAATAAAAATATTACACCAAACTAAGCTAAATAGAAACAAAGTATAATTCAATTCAAATTTATAATATTATTTTACATCTCTAAATGAAAATGTGAATTCATGCACAAAAGGACACTACAATGCAAGTCATATGCATCTAAATACAAGGTATTGACTTTTTTAAATTGAGGATATAATCAACACGTGGGTCTTCCTTAATATGAGAAAACAAACAAACGCAACGAGAGGAATTTCAATGGTTCTGTATCATTATTTATTCGGTGATCCAAATCAATCAAAATCATACAATTAATAAGAAGAGAGAAAAAAGAAGAAATAAAAAATAATTTTTTTTATCTAAGTGTGACCTCGTGAATGAAAGGATCACATGAGACATGAAACACAAAAAAAAATTACAAACGCAACAAGGCTAAAATTAGGAACTCAAAACATGACGGGAATAGATACTCTCATGTGAAAAAGTGATTATATGGTCATGCTATTTGATTACATTCACTTATTGGTAATGAGATAAGAGAGAGAAAAATATATAATTTTTAAAGGAATAATTTTGATCAAATAACATGACTACTTTTTCACGTGAAAAGATTCATTTCCAAATATGACAGTGTATTTTTTTATTTTTAAGATAACAACGTGACGCTGTCTTTAGTCACACGCGGCGAAGCGAATTCTCACTCTCTCGCCATAGGACTTACTCTAGTCTCTTTCGTTTCTACTCTTCTTCTTTGTTTTTTTTTGTTTTTTTTTTAATTCGTACCTTTTTTAATTTCCACCCCTCTCTCAAATCACAAAACAACTGAAATCACAAAATCTGCAAAAGCTTCCATTTTCGATTAATTGAAACATTTAAATAATTTATGAGAGACATTTATTTAATTACTTTAATTTGGGCCTTTTGTCTCTTTAGCTCTCATTTTTTCCTTCTTTCTCTCCTTAATTATTGCCCACCTTCTTATTACTCTTCATTCTCTTTCCTTCTTCTTTGTTTTATCAGTATGTGAATATGGGTAATGCAATCGTGGGAATTGAAAAGATTTTTTTTCCTTTTTTTTTGTTGTTTTGATTTTGAAAATCAATAATTACATGGTTGACTTATCCTTTGCCATTTTGAGAAACAAAGAGCTGAAAAGGGAAGTTCATCAATTTACAATCAAAGGGTCCTCATGTCACACATATTTATCTGCAACCCCTGCTCAATCACTGAGACTTTGAGAGAAAGAGAGAGAGCTTCCTGTATATCCAAAAGCATTTGTGATTTTTCTGTCACTTTCTCGAGAAAAATTATGTCCTCCTACTTGTTTGGTCCGGGAGAGTCTCTTTCCAATTTGGAACGCTTTGTTCGACACGTCACTCCAGATGTTCCTTCACGGACTCTTCCTCAGGTAATTTTTTCAGTCCTTGTTTTTTTTTTTTTATTCAGTTTTCTTTTTACTCCATCTATACCCTCTCTCATCTAAATTAATTCACGTTTCTTCACCGTTGCGGGAGAAGTGATAATGGGATATTTCATTTTTCTTCTTTTTTTTAAATTCTTTTATGTTTCTGCGTATAATTTTTGGATTACTTTTTAATTTTTTCATAAAAAAGTCCAAGTATTCCGGTTCATATTTTGATACCCATAGATACCTTGCGGCTCTCCGAATTATTATTATTTTTTCCTTGAAATTCTTAGTATGTTACATGAAATCTGTACGATTTTGAATTGTGTATCTAATCTTGTCATGGATAATCTCATTATGGTGTGGAAAATTTATAGATAGACATTACGAAGAATCAAATTTTATTTTTTTATTTGAGAAACCAACAAAAGTGAACACAACTGAGTTTGATTCATTCCTTTCAAAGTCGTGGTTCAAACGTTGTTGACCGATGTGAAGATGTTGGTGAGTGTTTCGAAAATCCTTAATAAAGAGATTGGAGAGTTTTATTTGACTTTAGTAGAATACTAATATCTAATTCCACTTAAATTTTATGTTATAAAAAAAAGTTTATTTTTTTATATGAATCAATTCTATTGTCTGCGAGTACCATAGTCATACGTTGGATTTGGTTCTCTCTGACAACTGAATCGTCACAGTCACACTAACATAAAAGATTGTAACATGCCTAAATTGCCCTCGGTATTTAGGAATATTCGATGAGATGCCATCGGCTGCGTGTCATTTTCATTCATTTAAATAAATGTTACAATATCAATACCATAATGTAAAAAATTGTTTATTTGCCATTTTTTTAATTTTTAAAATGTTTGTTTGGTTAGTTTCGGTCAATGTTGAGGTTGCTTGGAAGGACGAAATATATAGAATAAGGTAATAATTTTGTGATTTCTCGATTTCAGCAGAATCAGCGGGATTTTATTAATTATCAGGGAATCAATCGTTTTACTTGGTCAAAATTGATTCCATGAAATTTTGTGATATTTGATTTTGAGAAAAAATATTGGTGTATTGAGTTGTTTTTTATTTTATACAATGATAAAAATGATCAAATAACCGGCCTTTGGTGTATTGAGTTCTCTTTTTACGGGACATTTGGTAGAGGAGAAAAATTTTTTATCCAAAAATTTTAATTTTCAGAAATATGATTTTTACGTTCAGTTTACAATAATATCTGAAAATTAAATATTTAGAAAAATTCAATTTCCAGAAACTTCAAGAATTCCACGAGTTAAGGTATAGTTGAGTGCCACGTCATTCTCATTATCATTCTCATGGATTAGTATTTTTCATTTTTTTTGTGGAACATTCTATGTGAAAACATGTGGTACGCTGGAAATTTTTATTTGCTTGTTCTAAGTTACAAAATTCCTACGTGATTATGTAGGCATATTTATTTATTTATGTATTTATCAATCTTTGTTCGTTTCGAGAATGGTCAAAAGGGCGTAAATGAAGACAGAAAAAAAAAAATCAAGAAAATGGAGGGTGCTATCTATTGCATTTACTAGGCTAGCACCTTTGCTTGACATTGTTTATAGTGGGTGATGATCTCATCAGCAATTGGTTATATTTTTGGTAAATCTCTTTTCTTTAGACTCTAGCTTTTGCTACTTGAGAGTTAAACCTTAGATAGAAAGCGTGTTTCTTGCATTTTATGAAATTTCCGAACGTCACGTAGTTTCTTGTAAGTAAGTTCTTCTGCAATATTTGACAAACATATGTTAAAGTTGTTCTAAAAAAAAAAATATATATTTTCTTTGTTGGATGGCTAGCATTTAGCAATAGCATTGCATTGTTGGTCCTCTTGTAAAAAGCTATTATTTCTAGCCACATATAAAGCGGAAATAAAGTTGTATTGGTGCTACTAAGACCTTGTAAATCAATTGACACTGCCCTAAAAAGCCTTTAAGATTTGGGGTGTGATGATAGTGTCGTAGGTTGGATCCTCTGCCAGTACTTGCACCTCCAATGCACCAAAAAATGGTTTCCTTAATTTTTGTTGCTTTTTATCATTTTATTTGCAGAGCTGCTTTATTGATCTAAATAGCCAATGGCTACCTCCTAGCATGGACACAATTGAATACTTCACTCTGAAAGATCTTTGGGACTGCTATTATGAATGGAGTGCTTATGGTGCTTGTACACCTGTAATGTTGAAAAGTAATGATACTATAAAGCAATACTATGTTCCATATCTGTCTGCCATCCAAATCTACACCAGAAAGTCTGTTGCAGCTTCTAGGTATGTAGAAAACATTACTGTATGTTAATATACTAAATGTGACAACAAAGTGGTGTGAGTCATCTTCTTCTATTTTAGGAATCGGAGAGAAGACAGTGACAGAATTGAGTGTGAATGTGATTCCTCAAGTGATGATAGTGGAAGTGATTACCTATCTAGATCATCAAGTAACAGTTCTAGCAAAGCCTGGGATGCCGTTTCTTTGGATTCGAGCAGTGACCAGGTGGGTTCATGCCCAACAAGGGATATGCTTGGCTACCTTTACTTAGAGTACACTGAGACATTTGAACCTATCCGGAGAGTTCCATTTACTGTCAAGGTAGCCTTTAACTGCTAAGTATAGTATTCAGAACCTCTTTTTGGTGGTAATACAATTGGGACATCTGGCAGCTAGCGTCTACTGATGGTTTCTTGTTTCAGATAAATGAGTTAGCAAGAAGCCATCCGGCATTAATGACATTGAAAAGTGTGGATCTTTCCCCAGCAAGTTGGATGGCTGTTGCTTGGTGAGCATAATTAGTTGTTGTTCTTGTTATACTGAAATTAGTTGTTACTTGAAGATGAACATTTCAACTTGAAATGGGTGCCACCTGATGATAAATTTGCCTTGTTTTTGCCTGATATCTGAAGTAAGGCTTCACATTTTCAATTAACTTTATAAGAACCATTATCTGAATTATTTTGGCTGCAGTCTTCTAAACTTGCATACTGACAAGTTACTTGGTTTTTTTTTGTATTATCTAAACTTATAGTCGATAACAAGTGGTTGTCTCTGAATTGTTACAGAGAGAGATACTATGTTTTTTTTTTTTTAATTTTACTTGAAGCCAAAAGCCAAAATTGGTTGCGGTTGTGATTTCTCATGCAAGTATAAATCTGTATCAATGTTTTCTAATGAAACAGAACTGAAGGTGGAGGAAGAGAATTCTCTTGCTTATATTGTGGTTCTGTGTTTTTCATAATTACATATATAAGAACAATAAGTTTTTATTCAGTTTTGTCTATCTTGTGAAGTTTATATTTTCGTACTTCCCGTAAAAGATGTCTAGTGTCTGTTGGATTCTATGGTAGAAAAGTTGTTATACTGACTTGTTATCATTGAGATAGGTACCCTATTTATTCCATACCATGTCCGCTACCTCAAAAGGACCAGGCAGCATTCCTCACTTATCATACATTGTCATCTTGTTTCCAAGGTATCCTGATGTAGTGATTTGTTTTTTTTTTTTTTCCCCAGCGGACGAGTGTGTTTTCTTGAAATCAGAAAAGCATATCAAATCATTTGGAGTTCTTGCCATTTCTTTGTATTTTTCTACATTTTTATATGTTTTCTTGTATTTCACGAAAAATACATTGTGCGTGGGTTCTTTCTATGTGTCCACCTGTGTCACATCTGTTTGAGGTTTGTGGATGTTTCTCATTAGCCAAATGTGCTTGTGCTTGATCCTTTTTTTGGGGTAAATATTCTTTGTGCTTCTGGAGAAGCTAAGCACTGTCCCATTTACATTGTGGAGTGCGGGAGCAGATATCTGCATCCTGAATTTTCCAAGTATTCTAATTTTTCATATGAGAGTATTAGATATGTTTAACAATTGATCGTTGTGATATACTCTTGAAAATATTTGAATACAGAGGATATTGTGTGCCATTAATTCAATTTCTATCTGCTATCATGAAGTCTGTTTATGTGCATTGTACATTATTAGATGAGAATGCGTAAGACATTCTATCTACTATCATTTTATCACTCAGTGCTTGTATATAAGATTTTCTTCCAATCTCACACATGCCTCTTATGAATTGATGCTGTTGTTTCTTTCCAAATTCTCTGTCGAGAACTAAAACAAACATGCAATGCATTTACCATTTCAATGCTTATCAAATTTTTGGGGTAGCGTGTTTTGATAGTTTAACATAAAAGGGGCAATTTTGATAGTTTAACATAAAAGGGGCAAAAGTTAGAAAGTTTTTACCGGTGTGATGGAGTCATTTTACTACAATTTAAGAGTACAGGCACGTGTATAGTTTGCTAATTAATATGCAATAAATTAACATCAAGATAACCTTTTCTCCAATATTTTACTAAAATTTTGGTCCTTGATATTTATCTTTGAGCCTTGAGTTGAATGTGTTGCTCTCCTGATTTAATATTATGCATCATGGAAATTACATAATTATAATCAGATTTGATGGATTGATTCAAAACTTTTGTTTAAATAATTGTTTATGCCTGAGGCTTGCCTCTTTTCCTGCATGAAGTTTCTATTCCCTTCAATCTTTTGCATTTCTTTTCCCTTTCCTGAACAATTTAATCATTTCTTAAAGTGTCCTGCTGAGAAATCATTTAGATTCTCCTCGTGTTACTTATTTTTGTCAACTTGGCTGTGGTTTCGTGCATATTATTTAGGGTCCGTCGCTTCTCATGTGACTCCTGATGAGAAAAGTTACAGCAAATTTTTAACACTAGGATACACGTGCGGATCTTAGGATACACGTGCGGATTCTATAAAAAAAAAAAAACTAGGATTCGGACGCGTATCCTGGTAAAAGTAAGTGTTGCTGCATTTTCTCCCTTCTGCAGTCACATAAGAAGTACTTTCCCCATTATTTATTGGGAGAAGCTGGCCCTGAGTTCATTCCTGCTTAGTGTTGGAGCGGGTCAGTAGTTTAAAGTGTATTAACTTTTTTTCTTATTTGTTTCTGCAGATTGTGCAAAAGAATATAATGACATCAACATGGGAAAAAATATAAATTGTTACGGGTGGGGATTTATTCCAGGAGACAAATGTAAGAAAAAGAAGAGTGATTGTATATCTCTCTCTCCTTTTGGGCTAGTTACTTACAAAATGCAGAGTGATCGTTGGTTAAACCCCTCCAATGATGATGATGATGAAAGGGTATATGATGATGAAAGGGTATCCAATCTGTATAGTGCTGCAGACTCATGGTTGAAGCAGCTTAACGTCTACCACCATGACTTCAACTTTTTCACAAAAATACCTAGTAAATTGTTTTTTGTTCACCGCTAACTGACTACCCTTTGTTCAGTTTGGCACACTGACTCCGACAACAGAAGTTCCCCTGGGTGCAATCCTGAAAACATTGAGAAACTGAGATTGCATGTAAAAAGAATTTTTAACCTTAAGCAATGTAAAGTTTTGCTTATTTGGGGGGTTGGTTTTGCTACTTTCCTAGGTATAGATGATAGCAGTTTGTAGGCAACTGAACTATTATCTCTTTTGTACTTAGTTTGTTTTCTTTATTTAAATACTTGCTATTGATTTGTTTGGTTAATTTTCTTCTCTTTTCTTTTTAATCTGGATTCAGGGCAGATGCAATTAGTAATTTAGTATGATGTTTGATCAAATTAAATAAGTTCCAAAAACTGATCATGCCCAATTGTCTTTGGTGATGGGGATATAAAGTAGCTAAGTTTTTATTGTTGAAACAAAGTGGATCAATCCCCAAAGCAATTTTTACTATTGACTGTTCTAATTAGGGAAATTAGAAAGTAGGCCTGCTTATAGAAATCAAGTTTTTTTTTAAAAAAAGTAAAAAAAAAAAATTGTTTGGAAAAAGTTGTTTTGGAAAATGAATCCCAAAATAAATATTGTTTTTTAGTTTTAAAAACTAAAAAAACAGAACAATTTAGGGATGTTTTTAAAAGTTATTTTTTAGTTTTTGTTTTTGCAATGGTAATTTTATAAATATGAGAATTTATTGATGGCACTTTTATAAATAATTTTTTTTATTTTAAATTATTTTAAAATGGCAATCTTATAATTATAAAATCTCATTAATGGTATTTTTGTAAATAATTACAATTTCTTTATAACTTTAAAACTAATTAAATTCAAACAAATTTTATTATTCTTTTACTCTCAAAATCAAATTTTAAAATTTATACTCAAAGCAGTTTTAGAAAAAAAAAACACATTCAAACACATCCTTCAATTTTTATTTTCTTTGTTCGTTTTCTTTAAACTATGATAAAGCCGAAGGTCCCTTAATGAAATATAGAAACAATCAGGCCCATCATGAAACAAGCTGCACTATTGACATTCTGAATTTTATTCCAATTTCCAAAACCGAAGTCTATATAGATCTTGTGCATGTATTTGTATCTTTTGGAACATCACAAGCTCTTTACATTATAAATAATATGGGTTTGATTATTTTATGAGAATTGAATTCTTATGTTCTCGTCTTGTGATTTAATTAGTGGTGGATCTCATATTTATTAAAAAAGAAAAAGAAAAAAAAGTTTTACATGTAAATCAAAAGATCACAATATACTGTTGCAAGCGATGGGTTAGTTAGGCACGTGTAGGTACGCGCGCGAAAACTTTGCTGTCTGCGAGGGTTTGTATTCTGAGTTTTTGCTAGTTCAATGGAGGATTTGAAGGAGAGTCAGAATGAAACGTTGTCAATGGCTAGGAAGAGTACTAAGCGTACGAAGAGTGGTGAAGAAATACCAATGGAAGCTCGAATGCGAGAGGTGGTGAAGGAGTTTCAATCTGGTGAAACGGTTCTTGAGAAACAGAGATCTTTTGCTAAGGTAACAGGGATGGAAAATGGTGTGTCTGGTGAAGCATCTCCCTGGCTAATAGAGGAAGAGGAACCTGTTGTGGAACCCCTTGATCCGAATCAGGGGACTATTTCTGAGTGGGGTTTCCAAACAATAGTCAGAGATGATGGATCGGTGGAAATCAAAAGCAATGGAGAAGCTCGAGCTCGCATGCGTCAGCGATGGAAGAATGCCTTGATAGTTAAACTACTAGGCAAGAAGATCGGTGTTGGATTCATGAAAAGGAGATTGGAAGCTCTCTGGGCTAAGGCAGGAAGCATAACAGTAGCTGACCTAGGGAATGATTTTTTCTCTGTAAGGTTCAGCTGCTTGGAGGATCTGAACCTAGCTATAACGGGAGGGCCATGGGTGATACTGGGGCATTACCTAGCAACGAGGAAATGAGAGCCTTGCTTCGATCCAGAGAAGGAAAACATCCACAAGGTTGCAGCATGGGTGCGCCTTCCAGGTATTCCACAAAAGTATTGTGAGTTTCCTTTTCTGAATCATCTAGGAACTGTGATTGGTAAAGTCTTAAAAGTTGATAGAACAACTTCAACCGGAGATAGGGCTAGGTTTGCAAGAGTTTGCATTGAGATTGACCTTGCTAAACCTCTGAGAGGGATATACATTCTGGATGGCAGTAGGAAGAGGATATAGTATGAAGGATTATTCCTAATTTGTTTGAAATGTGGTAGGTATGGGCACAATTCGGATTCCTGCCCAGAATTTGCTAAGCAAACTCCAATGGAGAAGCCTAGTGAGACTTATGTGCAGCCAATGGAAAAGCCTGAATCTCAAGGGATTGGTGAGTGGATGGTGGTGCAGAGAAGGAAGAAAGGAGGCCAAACACATCAGAAAAGTGATATCAAGAACACCAGATTGTTTGGGGAAGATATCTCCAATGCTAAGAAGGGACAGGGGTTGAAAACGGGTGTTAGCAGTGGAAGTGGTATTCAGAAGAAAGTGATTGGAAATGAAACAGTAGTGAATGTTCCCAATTCTTTGGTGAACAAGGAAATTTTGGCCTTGGTTAACAATTCCCAGAATACTGTGGGAGTAATGAATTTTAATGCTAAGGCTCAAAATAATTCCAAGAAGTCTTCAGGTGTGAAGCAAGGAGCATCTATTACCAAGAGGAATTCGGTTAAGACTATATCAGCTAAAGGAAAAGGGGTACAACAGCTTCTTGCTCCTAATCTGAATGCTGGTAGTAGCTCAATGACTCAAAAACCTGTTCAGGAGAATTTGGAGCAGAATAAAGGCAAGCTTTGGGGTGATTTGGTGATGGCAGCTGATTCTGCTGCTGCAGAAGCTCTCCTGGAAAATGCTGAGAGCATACAGCAAGTTGGCAGCCTGCTCATTGATTGTGAATTGAAGGATCCTGAACCACCTGACTTGGTTATGGGGGAAAACTTGAAGAATGCAGAAAATCAACCTGGAATGGAGATGGATCAGCATTCTTTTGCAGTCCAAGGTAGCTCTATGCATAGTATGGTTGAGTTAAATGATCGAGAGGGAGATGTAGATATTCAGGAGGCTATTGATGTAATCCAAGATGCAAGTGGCAAGAATTTTGTAATCTTGCAGCAAAATCAAAATTCGCAATGAATGTGATGACCTGGAACTGCAGAGGTGCTGCCAAGAAGCAATTCAAGAGTACCTTCAGTAGGTTTAGGAAAAAACATGGGGTTGGTATTGTTGCCATTTTGGAGCCCGGAGTCAGTGGAAATAAAGCCTTGAGTATTATTCGTAGTTTGGGGTACTCAAATTATATAATAGCCGATGCTAATGGGTATGCTGGTGGTGTGTGGGTTGTATGGGATCCGATTGATGTGACTATCAGTCTCAAGAGGAAGCATGACCAATTCATTCACTGTTGGGTTGAATTTCCTGGTAAGGATGGATTCTTCTAGACAACAGTTTATGCTAGTCCTAAAGAAGAAAAAAGAAGAATGTTGTGGGAAGATCTGAAGCATATTGGAAGGACTATGAATGATCCATGGATGCTGTCAGGTGATTTTAATGAAATAACTTCAGCTGCTGAGAAGAAAGGAGGAAGCCCAGTTAATGCTAATAGATGTCATATGTTCAATAATGTGTTAGATACTTGTGGGGTAATAGATTTGGGAGGAGGAGGAATTAGATTAACTTGGAAAGGTCCCAAATTCCTTCATTTGGATAGAGTGTTTAAAAGGCTTGATAGAGCAGTTGCAAATGATTTATGGAGAACCTGTTTTGAGGAATCTTCCAAGAATCTTCTCAGATCATTGCCCTGTATTGGTGAGATTGGGAAAAGAGGATCATTGTTGCAGGGATAGACCCTTTAGATTCATGGCTATCTGGCAGAATGATGCTCGGTTCAATTCTTTTCTCAAAACCAATTGGGATTCTAACTCCAATTTTTTGGATAGCCTCCTTTCTTTTACCCCTGCAGTCAAAAACTGGAATAAAAATGTCTTTGGATTCACTCTTTATAGAAAGAACAGGGTGATTGCTCGGCTGGAAGGAATTCAAAGACAGATGAGCTTGAACAATATCTACCACTTGGAGGAGTCGGAAACTAAACTAAATAAAGAGCTAGCTGATATCTTAGATCAAGAGGAACAAATTTGGTACCAGAAATCAAGGGGTGATTGGATAAAAGGGGGTGATAGAAATACTAGGTACTATCATACATGTACCTTGATTCGAAGGAAGAGAAATAAGATCATCAAACTTCAGAACAATGGTGGTGGCTGGATTTCTGGAGAGGATGAACTAATTGAGTTAGCCAGAAGCTTTTTCATCAATCTCTTCAAAGAAGACATGATTGAATCAGAGTGGAATCAAACTGTTTATTCATGGCCAGCTATCAGGGAGGAATATAGAAGTTTATTGTCATTAGATATTTCTCTTGAGGAAGTTAAGAAGGCTTTCTTCCAAATGCCCCCACTGAAAACTCCTGGACCGGATGGTTATCCTGCACTGTTCTATCATAGGAATTGGGACCTGATCAAAGAACAAGTCTTCAATAGTATGAAATTGTATCTAAACAATCCGGATCAGTTTAAGGAGATAAACCATACTCTCCTTACACTGATTCCCAAAGTGGATAGACCTTGCTCTATGAAAGAATTTCGTCCCATTGCTCTTTGCAATACAGTTTACAAAGGCCTGAGTAAAATTCTGGTTAATAAGATTAAACCTTTCATAGGTGATCTTATCTCTCCTAATCAGGTAAGCTTTATTCCAAAGAGGAATATCCAGGACAATATAATTATTGTTCAGAAACTTATACATTCTATGCATCGGATGCAAGGGAAGAAGAGCTATTTCTCTATCAAGATTGATCTAGAGAAGGCCAATGACAAACTCAAATAGGGTTTTGTAAAGACTGTGCTTGAAGAGTTGAAACTTCCAGGTGAGTTGATAGCTGCTATTATGGGCTGTGTTACTAGTCCCTTCATTGAGGTGTTATGGAATGGAACCAGAACTCAGGGATTCTACTCTCAAAGGGGTTTAAGGCAAGGGGATCCATTATCCCCTTACTTATTCGTCCTTTGTATGGAAAAACTTACCTATTTAATTATGGATGAAGTATAAAGGAAACAATGGCATCCAATCAAAGCTGGTAGGTCAGGCCCTCAGATCTCCCATTTAATGTTTGCAGATGACATTATTTTATTTGCTGAAGCTTCTCTTAGCCAATTGGAGTGTATTACAGGCTGTTTGGAGAAGTTCTCTCGAATGTCAGGCCAATGTGTGAGTATGGAGAAATCATGTATCTATTTCTCTAAGAACACCTCTCAAGAGACTGTGAATACTCTTTCAAATGTGAGTGGGTTCAAAGTAGTCAAGAATATTGGCTGCTATATAGGAACCTTAATGAGACATGGAAGGATCAGTAGACATCACTATACCAATGTCATAGATAGAGTGCAGAATCAGCTTCAAGGGTGGAAGTCCAAATGTTTGTCTATGACTGGTAGAATTACATTGGCTAAGAGTGTGATTTCAGCTATGCCAATGTATCACATGCAGAACAATACTCTTCCAATTCATATTTGCCAAGATATTGAGAAACTACAACGCAATTTCATCTGGGGAGACACAGAAGAAAAAAGAAAAGCTCACTATGTAGCATGGGAGCAGCTTTATAAGCCTGAGGAATATGGTGGCTTAGGTATTATTAATCTTAGATTGCAAAATGAAGCCTTCATGCAAAAGAGAGCCTGGATGCTCATCAATGAGCCAAACAGTCTCTAGGCTAAAGTATTACTTGGGAAAAATGGGAGAAAGCAAGATCCTAGGATAGGCTTATCTGTTAAAAAATGGGACTCATCCTTATGGAAGAGTATTTGTGCAGCTCGAATTAAACTGGATCAACATCTGATATGGGAGATGGGCAATGGCAAATCAGTTTTGTTCTGGGTAGACTGTTGGCATGGATGGCAAAATAATCTGTATGAACTTGCTTTTGCTAAACCTTGCAATGTTGAGCAAGAATCAAAGGTGAATGACATGGTAGATCAAGAAACAGGTGACTGGCAGTGGGAATACCTGAAGAATTATCTTGATGATTCTATACTTAGGAAGCTGCAAAGTATTCAACCTCCTTGCCCAAATGGACCGGATGACAGGCTCTGTTGGCTAAAACATAGTCCAAGTAGTTCTATGGTTAGAAATGCATACCAGCAACTATCGGCTGTAAATTTGAAAAAAGATAAAGTTTGGACTATCATCTGGAAATGGAGAGGACCATTTAGAATAGCAATATTCTTATGATTAGCATGTCTAAATAAGCTACCTGTTAGAAGCACCACAAGTCTTTGGAGTGGAGGTGAGATTCTATGCCCAATTTGCTCAACTACCCAAGAGACAATCATGCATGTGCTTAGAGACTGTTCAAGAGCTAGAAAGGTGTGGGAGAGATGGTTTGAAGATAAGATTCCAGAAGCTTTCCTGTCAGCTGATGATTTGGACTGGTTTAAACTAAATATCTGCAAAACTTTTTCAAGTAAGTTTTGGCATTCTTGGAAGGAATTTTTTTTGTTACTTGTTGGATGCTATGGCAAAGGAGGAACCTGGTTGTTCATGATGAATTATTCTCTTGGCCTAGTGATCCGATAAGTAGGATCCTGCACTACCTGATGGAAATGAAAGAAAATTGTGCTGATGATCCTTTCTCCCAGAAATTAGAATCCACTATTCCACTGTTCGGGTTTAGGAATCAGGAACAGAATGAGGTTTTAAAGATTTTTGTTGATGGTGCTGTGAATCTGAATTCCAAAACAGGTTCATGTGGAGGTCTTATCTGCAATTGGAATGGTGATTGGATAAGTGGATTCTCCCTTAAGATTGGTGCTTGTTCAATACTTGAGGCTGAATTATGGGGTATATGGCAGGGTCTAAAGCTGGCAATAGACCTAAACGTCCAGAAGGTATGGCTTGGGAGTGATAGCAAGGAAGCTCTTCTATGTATGGATAACCCTAATGAATCGGATGACTGCTCTTTGTTAGTTAGAAGAATAAGGAACAGTTTACAGTTCCTTGAGCATGTTGATTTTGAATTTGTTCCTAGAGAGTTTAACTCTTGTGCTGATAGCCTAGCTTTGTTAGGATTTACGGGTAGAGGTGGAGAGTTGAAGTTATATTCCTCTCTCCTATAAGCATTTTTCCATTTTGGACATACATCAGCTTTCAATATAATTCTTCTGGGCTAGGCCCACCACTTTTACCAAAAAAAAAAAAAAAAAAGATCACAATATAATAATTAAATTCGAATTCTCATGCAACATATTTTTTCTAAATAAAAATAGCAAAATCGCTTTTCCATGCCGTTGAACTAGATTTGATAATTAAATGGTTGCTTCTCGCTGACTCTTATTTGTTACGTTAAGTAGCTCTATTTCCCCGGGTCACATCAACGCGGTTCCTTCCTCTTTTATTTTATTATTATGTGATCGCACTGTTTGCTAACTAGTAATTGTTGCATTGGTACATACAAGTTCATCTCATTTTTTCCCGAACCTTCCCATTTTCAACCATCTCTTTTTCGCACTTCTCAAATGGCTTTAGCTTTTGGTTTCATTCTCATCGGTTTTGGTCTCGGAGTAGTGGCCGTTGTTGCTGCCGAAGCTCTGGGACTGTTATGGATCATGAAATGGTTGCGCCGCAAGACCATTAGAGAAGAAGCCAAATCCCAACTGGGTGCTGCATCTGCACAGCTTGATCCTCACCAATCTCTGGATTTTGCGATTAAAAAAAAGGTCGTGCTTCGAATTCTTAGCTTAGCTTAGCTCGAATTGTTTTTCACCCCCTTCTACTCTACTAATTAAGAAATGGCCAAACCGAAATTTATGATTCTGAACAGGAGCAAGTTTAAGTTGAAATACATGAAATAGAATGTGATTAGTCACTTGTGTTATTGGTTTTATTTTGGTGAAATTCCCAAATGGAAATGACTTTAAAGTCACTCCAGGGTTGAGATTACTTTGTATTTAAAATAGTTTATAATCAAAGTATTAATGCCAGAGCTTTTGAGAAAAAGAAAAGAAAAAAGAGAGGCAATCTTTGGACTGCTGAAACCTAATGCTTGAGCCATTTGTGCCCTTACACAATTAGTTATCTCACTGAAAAAACTGGTCGAAAACTTTGGAAAAGAAAGTTTGAAGTGTGGGAAAATTTGGGGAAATCTGCATGGTTCTCTATTATGTTTAAATGTTCTAAAGTTACAAATTTGCAAGCTTCGCTTGGACAAAGGTGATAGAAATTTTCTTTTGTGGGCTACCATTAATGGTTAATTTTGGTTTTTATGGGAGTTACTATTCTCATGTTGCCTGGGATAGTTCTCTCTGTGAGATAAATATGTGGGGTCCACACTTTAAAACCAAAGGAAAAAGAAATGAAAAAAGTTAGCACAAAATACGATGAGTCTATAACATGAGATATCTATCTCTAACGAAATGAGAAAAATATTTCCCTTTATAAAAATAGGTTGATAATATGGTCACTTTAATTTCTAAGAGTCACTTAATTTCTAAGAGACATACTCGTAATGAGAGGGTTATTATGTGAACAAATTATATTTGCTGCTAGGTTTGTTGTCACTACTTCTAAAATTATATCAAAATGATGGTCTCTTAGGTTTATAATATATTCAAACCTTTAGGCTTCTTCATCCTTAACTTTCCCCATTGAAAAACTGCCCTCTCCCTATCTCAGAATTAGTGGGGGAGGACTTTGCTTAGCATGATCACCAGTGTCCACTGTCTTCCAATAATCAAAGGTACATAGCTTTGTTCGCTATGAGTGGATGAACATGAAGCACCAAAGGCACTGGACACTGGTGCTAAGTTAGGTCTTTCCCCATTACTTCTAAGATAGGGAGAGGGCAACTGTTCAATGGGGCAAGTTAAGGATGAAGAAGCCTAAAGAATATCATTAACCTAATAGAGTATCCTTTTGATATAATTTTAGAAGTAGTAAATTTCACAGAATTTACAGGTTAATTTGTACAAAAGGTTGCTTGGGATTTTGGGCTTCCTATTTATATGTGTGGTGGATAAAGATTGGTTCCACAAAAACTATCTATTTGATTCCCTCTGAATTAATTTTTTTTTTTTTTCAAACTCTTTATCTCATTAGCTTCGCCTTTCAGGGTGTGGTTTGGGTTCTTGAATCTGAAAAAATTTCGAAATTCTGCTTGGACAAACCATCAAGAGAACAAAAAAGAAATAAGGAGCTCTTGGAGGTTTCCCCCATTAAAATGTATGGACAAATCAAGGGTCAATCACTTATTCTGAGAGGATCTGATGGTTTGCACTCAACAATTGAACTCAAGGGCTGCTCTGTTCAAGCTGTCTCAGCTTCAAGCCTTTCTTCAAGAAAATGGTAATGTGATCCAGAAGTCACTTCTATTGGGTGGTATTATTTCATTTGGATTCACTGGCAACATTATTGTGACCATCTTTTCACTTCACATGCTTATTTATCATCAACGCTGCATAGTTTCCCAATAAGTGGGCGGGGAGTATCCACTTTTCCATTTTCCTATAATTTTTATCTTGCCACTTCCCTTAAGTTTTCTACTCCAATTGCCTCCACTTTTTCCTATTAACTGCACATGCATATATGAATGCCACGTTCTTGTAAAAATGTAAAAAACACAAGTGACAAAATTCTCTAACAGGTGATAGGGGTTAGCATAATGAATATCTTATTCTCAGCTACAGCTAATGTCTAGCTATTGTAAAATTTCTTTGAATACCAAGCTATGATGCATGTGAACTCTGCTATCATCCTTGAGCAGTATTACATTTCGCAGAAAACCTGATACTAAATTGATTATGCTAGAGTCATAGTTCCTCTTATAACTTCTCCATTTTTCCTTCCAAAGGGAAACCTGTTCAAGTGCATATTATTTTGATTCAACGTATGACTCACTGCATAGAAAATGTAAAAAATAGGTTTCTTTTTTGCAAATTTCCTTGATATTTAATTGAACATGGAGAAATCTCATTTCCTTTGTGCCTTGCTCACTTTTTAAAAAAAAAAAGTAACTAGTGATAGCTTGGATTTGGGGTATCATAAGTTAAATAATATTGGAAAGATTGAATTTTGTTTCAACTATGGGTCATTTGTTGAGGAAATTAGGTGCTTCAAGTTCTTATTTGATCGATGATTGATCTGTTATTTTGGTAAAAATGGGTGATGAATCTTATAGGGCAAAAAAGTTCCCCATCAAAGTGGAAAGCAAGACCTCTGTAATATACAATGGAAGCAAAACTGTTTACATATATCTTGAAACTTCATGGGAGAAAGAAGCATGGTGTAAGGCCCTCTATCTGGCTTCGTGTGTTCAAAATGAAAAAATCAAATGGTTCAACCAGTTGCATGAAGAGTTTCATAGTTATCTGACATCCTTAAATTCTGTGTATCATTCTTTTATGAAACCATCGGTAGGATCAAGTGTTGAGGCAATAGAAAGGGCTAGTAAGCCTGATGGTTCTTCCTCAAAGGTTCGTCAATTTTTGAAAAAATTTGTAAAAAGAACTTCCCGAGTTGGTTTGGAAAATAAATCAACTTGGACTTCGTTGTCAGGCCATGAAGGGAAAAAAAACACTGAAAAGCTTCGTGCTTGCCAAGATGCAGTTTTGGCCAGTGGCTTGTTGAAAGCTACTTCAACATCAAAGCATCTTAATAGTTCCCTGGTAAACGATCCTCCACCATTATCTTCAAAGATATCTCATTCAGGAAGCCAGAGTCTTCACTCTGTCGGCTCTGATGCGAATGCTGATGAGAAGTTTGGTATTGATGAGGGAACATTATGTTTGAATTTGTTGATTTCCCGACTCTTTTTTGATGCCAAAGGCAACACCCAGTTGAAGAGATCCATGCAAGCAAGGATTCAGGTTTAAGCCTTTCCTATTTGATGTTTACGTGTTTGATTGTGAGTTTGTTTGCAAAGATGGATATCATTATCATTTTATAGCAATTAATTTACATTAGTTTTTAAATTGATAATATTTACTTAGTCATGCTGGAAACATGTTAAAAAGATATTATATCATTTACAAAAAAAAAAAAAGATATTATATCTTTCTATAATCTTATCTATTGTTAGTAGTTCCGAAAACTCAAGTTTATAGGTACAAGCTGGACTCTTTTCAAGCTTAAAACATTAAGCTATATCAACCAGATCTAAAGGTGCTGTTCTTTCTAAATGTTTCTAACTAGTAATTTTGTTAATTTAACTGATATGGTAGGTTTAATATTTCACTATATCAACCAGATTAAAAGGAAGCTATCCCATTCATAGAGTTTTTTTAATGTAGTGAATGGAAGAAAAATTAGTTGATTTCAACAATTATATGAATTGGAGGGGAGATTATTTTGAAAACATGTTTTTTGTTTTCCCTATCCTATTTTTTTGCGGCAGACTTCATTCCATAATGGTTGTTATGAGATAAATATTGATCTCCTCTGAGAAATCCCCCACAGAAAACTCCACCTCATTATGGTTTCGATGAGATAAATGATGGTTACTTTTTCTTTTCTTTTCCTTTTGTTTTTAACAGCGAACATTGTCCAATATGAAGACTCCCAGTTATATTGGTGAAGTCATCTGTAGCAACATCAATACCGGGAATGTTCCACCTTGCATTGCAGGAATGAGAGTTCTTCCTATGGAAATGAGTGAGATATGGGCCTTAGAAGTTGACATTGAATATTCTGGAGGTGCAGTATTAGAGATTGAAACAAGGCTTGAAGTTCATGAACTAGAGCTCCAAGCAGGGACAGAGGACTCAAATCCAGAGCCAAGCAGTGATGGAGTTGTCCCATCAGATCTTATTGAAAGTTTTGAATATTTTGGAAAGCAATTGAATCTTGCAGAAACAGCAAATGATTTACAAGAGCAAAAAGAACATGGTGATTGGAACACTGGTTAGTACATGAGTCCAATCAATATAATTATTTTTGCATTTTCTCCGTGAGTCCTATCAATTCCAATTATTTATGAACTTTGTCTTTGAGTCCTATCAAACCCAATTATTTATGCACTTTCTCTTACTTCCTAAAATCCCATCTGAACTTAATTGGTCGTCTCAGAGGATATCCTATATGCTTGCTACGTAAGGTCATACTTTCTAAGATTGTTAGTGCATCCAAGTTTTACTGTAATTTCCACACTTTACAGACTAAGTTTACGGGTAGATGGAGAAAATGGGCTGGGGCTTCCAAATCCTATAATATATCCACCTCTGGTGTTTTTTTTTTTTTGAGTTTGGAATTTTTCCAATTACAACAATGAAGAAAATTGTGTTGTTTCATTTTAGTTGTTTTTCCATTTTCTTTTCCTAGAGGATACCTTATTGGATATTTCTAGTTCTGCTTTTCTCCTTAAGTAGTAAATTTCCAAAACGTGGAGGAGGGAGTATCTATCGAGTTTTGTATTGCGTATTTAGATTGATAATGTAATGTGTATCTTTTTTTCCCTAAGCAGATGTGTCTAAGAGCTTTAAGCGTGCTATGTCTTCCTCAAATTTAGGAGCAAGATGGAAATCTATATTAAATTCTGTTGCCAAACAGGTTTCACAGGTACCCTCTCTTTATTATGCCTCCTTTATTCCATCGGTTGCTTCTTCCCACTACACTTTTTGCAGCCCATGTTTACATTATTCGACTTCTGCTATTTTAGTAATGTTGTGTGGTAGTATTAAATGGGGTTTTTCCCTCTTTTCCTTTTTGTGTCTCTCCAGAGTTAAATAGTATGTGTGACTTGCACATATCATTTAATAATAGTTCAACTATGTTCTATTTTTTTGCTGTCATATATTTTGGTGAAAAATCTTGTTACATGGTTATAGTCTGTTTGTTGGCCATAAATTCTGGTTTGAGTAAATTACACTAACCTCCCCAAGGCCCCTCCGGTCTTAGAAATTGTACTGAATTTCCCTATTGTAACTCATCAGACAGATACCTCCATATTGTTAATGTTAGAATATTAGATATGATATGATTAGATTTGATTAGATATGATTGGATTCTGTCTTATCCGTAAATAGTCTGACTGTATTAGGATTAGGTTTGGATTAGGTTTGGGCCTTACACTTAAGCCCATTAGGGTCTCTATATATTGTAACTCCCTGACACAGATCAATATACAACGTATTCTCTTACATTTAACTTGGTACCAGAGCTATTTCGTTCCGGGAACCCTCGCTTCCGCTTAGAAATCTTGTTCTTCGCTTTAAAACCTAAGCCCACTACTTAGGATTCATCTTTTCTTTGCCGTGCGTCCTTCCGGTAAGATATCAAAGGCTGTAAGTCCTCTCCAGGCATCTTCTGCACGTGTCCACATCCCCAAACAGTCACCGGAGCACCATCAGCCACTGTTCAGGCTTCCGGAGTACTTTTCCGGCGAGTTTTCAGTCTGGAACGAACGCGAACAGAACCCTCTCCTCCCGGCGACCTGCTCTGTGGAAGTCCGGCCACCATCGGAGTTGTCACGCGCTCTCACGCGCCTCCAGTCTTCTCTGCGCGTGGGCTTCACGCGCCACCTTCTGCCGGCGCGTGAGCACTATTCCGGCGGCTTTTTCCGGTCGGTCTTGGACAGAGAAGCTCGTCTTCTCCTCCTCTTTCTGGATCTGTGGTTGGTTCTTTGTGGGTCTGACTTTTTGTGCGCACCTCTTCTTGATTGGTGATCAGGTTCGTTTCTCTTTATTCGGTGTGTATCTTTGTGATTTGATACTATGGCAGCAAACCCTCCAATTCATTCGGAGGTCAAGTCTCCATCTCCTCCTTTGAGAAATTCTCCCAATATCATCTCTACCAATATTGAAGGGATCTGTTAATTACAAGAACTGGGCCACCTCTGTTCGAGTTTGGTTCTTTGGACAAGGATATGGGAACCATCTCACAACTAAGTCTACTGATGTCCCTAAGGAGGACAAGTCTGATTGGGAAAAGATTGACAACCAGCTTCTGAGTATCCTCTGGCAATCCATTGATCCGATTGTCTTGGATATCTTTTATTCATTTCAAACTTGCACTGAAGTGTGGGAGGAAGCAAAAAACCTCTACACTAATGATGTTCAGCAACTCTATTTCATCATCTCTCAGTTTATGGAATTGAGCAAATCATCCGACATTCAGATGGAGACATATATTGGCAAGAGTCGCTCTTTGATGCAGGCATATTTGGATATGCTGCCTTACCCTACTGATGCTACTGCATATCGGAAACAGGTGGAACGTCTCTTTATGGTTGCCACACTTTCTGGCCTTCCCGAAGAATATGATAATGTTCGTGATACTATCTTGACTAGTGGGGAGCCTGATCTATCCATGACGTATCAGCGTCTTCTGAATTTGAATAAGAAATCTGCTCCTGCATCGTCTTCTGCTGTTGATTCTACTGCTCTAGTTTCCCGTATTGATTTTCGCGGGCATATTGGAGGTGGACGTGGTCGTGGTAGAGGCCCAGGAGGACGTAGCCCAGGAGGTCGTGGCCCAGGAGGCCCAGGAGGTCCAGTCGGACGTGGTCAGCGACCTCGTTGTCATTACTGTCAGCAACTTGGTCATTATGAGGAACGCTGCTACACCAAGTATCCTCACATGCGACCTTCTTTTGCTGCTAATGTAGCTCAATCGGATACTGCTTCAAATGGTTCAGTCTCTCTCTCCTTTGAAGAATATGCAGCATTCCAGGCCCTTTTCAGGAAGTCCTCTCCTCAATCTCAGGCCTCTGCTTCAGAAACTGGTAATCCTGTTGCTTGTGTTTCTCATTCTGCATCACTTGGTCCTTGGATATTTGACTCAGATGCTACTGATCACCTCTGTGGTAATAAGGAACTCTTTTCTTCCCTTACATATTCTAATAATTTACCCTCTTTTACTCTTGCTGATGGAACTAAGGCCCCCGTTCATGGGATTGGACAAATCTGTCCAACCTCCTCATTGACCTTGACATCTGTCTATTACATTCCTCACATCCCTTATAATTTAATATCGGTTAGTAAATTGATCAATTCTCTTAATTGTATTGTCACATTCTCAAACCATTCTGTTTCTGTGCAGGACCCGGGTACGGGGAAGATGATTGGAGTGGGCCGTGAGTCACGGGGTCTGTTCTACCTTGATGTGCCGAGTCCTTCAGTTGCTTGTTCTCTCACAGAGTCTCCACAGCTCATCCACAGTCGTCTCGGGCATCCTAGTCTTGCGAAATTGCAGAAGATGGTTCCTCTTTTATCCGGTCTTCAAACTTTAGATTGTCAGTCATGTCAGCAAGTAAAGCACATACGCTCCTCCTTTGCTAATCGAGTCAATAAACGAGCTGATGCTCCTTTTTCAATTATTCATTCAGATGTTTGGGGTCCTAGTCGTAGTGTGTCTATTTTAGGTTTTCGGTATTTTGTCACCTTTATTGATGATTTCTCCCGTTGTACTTGGATTTATTTAATGAAAAACCGTTCTGAGTTGTTTTCTATTTATCAAAAGTTTTCTGCTGAAATTCATACTCAATTTGGTGCTTCTATTCGTATTTTACGTAGTGATAATGCTAAGGAGTATGTTTCTGTTGACTTTTCTCACTTCTTAGCCACACAGGGTACTTTACACCAAACCACTTGTCCTCAGACTCCACAACAAAATGGAGTAGCTGAACGTAAGAATAGACATCTCATTGAGATTGCCAGGACTCTTCTTATTCACATGCATGTTCCTCTTCACTTCTGGGCTGATGCAGTCCTTGCTTCTTGCTTTCTCATCAACCGCATGCCTTCATCTGTGCTTAATAATGATATTCCTCATAACTTATTGTTTCCAGATGTTCCTCTCTTTCCTCTATCCCCACATGTTTTTGGTTGTACCTGTTTTGTTCATGATCTCACTCCTGGTAAGGATAAGTTAACATCCAAAGCCTTTAAATGCATTTTTCTTGGTTATTCTCGTCTTCAAAAGGGTTATCGCTGTTACTCTCCTGACCTCAAGCGTTACTTAGTTTCCGCGGATGTCACCTTTTTTGATCAACAACCCTTTAATTCTATCCCATCTCCATTGTCACAGGTTGATCATGTTCTTCCTGTTCCTTTTCTTGACTTGTCTTTGCCAGATGCAGGTGCTTCTACTCCAGATAAGCCATCACCTATTGCTCAAGTACCTAAGGACCGTCCACTTCTCACTTATCAGCGTCGTAAGACAGTACCTCCAGTCGACTCGACCCCTGCTGACTCATTGCCCTCTGCAGTTGATTCTTCCCCTCCGGATCCTTCACCAGAGGCTCTTCCCATTGCTCAAAGAAAAGGTACACGTACTACTCGTAACCCTTATCCTCTTTATACCTTCTTGAGCTATGATCGCCTTTCTCCTCCTCATTTCACCTTTGTTTCTAGTCTTTCTTCTATTTCTATTCCTAAGACCACAGGTGAAGCACTTTCCCATCCAGGATGGCGCCAAGCGATGCTTGATGAGATGACCGCACTTCATACCAATGGCACTTGGGACCTTGTTTCTGCTCCTCCAGAGAAGTCTATAGTTGGTTGTCGCTGGGTGTTTACTGTGAAAGTTGGACCTGATGGCTATGTTGATCGTCTCAAGGCACGCCTAGTTGCCAAGGGTTTTACTCAAATCTTTGGCCTTGATTATAGCGATACATTCTCTCCAGTCGCTAAGATGGCGTCCGTCCGCCTATTTCTTGCCCTTGCTGCTGTTCGTCACTGGCCACTCCTTCAACTTGACATCAAAAATGCCTTTCTTCATGGTGATTTACAAGAAGAAGTTTACATGGAGCAACCACCTGGTTTTGTTGCTCAGGGGGAGTCTGGGAAGGTATGTCGTCTTCGAAAATCCTTATATGGTCTCAAGCAGTCTCCTCGAGCATGGTTCAGTCGCTTCAGTTCTGCTGTACAGGCGTTTGGCCTAATTCGCAGTAAAGTTGACCATTCTGTATTCTATAGGATTACATCTCCTAACAAGTGCATCTATTTGTTAGTCTATGTTGATGACATCATCCTCACCGGAAGTGATCAAGACGGAATCCATCAGTTAAAACAACATTTATTCAGTGCATTTCAAACAAAGGACCTTGGGAAGCTACGTTACTTCTTGGGAATTGAGGTGGCGCAATCTAGACAGGGCATTTCTATCTGTCAAAGGAAGTATGCCTTGGATATCCTAGAGGAGACTGGTATGTTGGGGTGTAAACCAGTTGATACACCCATGAATCCTAATGTTAAGTTATTGCCCAAACAGGGGGAGCCGTTATCTGATCCTGGACGTTATCGAAGGCTGATTGGGAAGCTCAATTATCTTACTGTGACTAGGCCAGATATTTCTTTCGCTGTTAGTACGGCCAGTCAGTTCCTTGATTCCCCTTGTGATTCACATTGGGATGCTGCTGTGAGGATCCTCCGATATATCAAAGGAGCACCAGGAAAATGTTTGTTGTATTCGGATCAGGGAAATACAGAAATTTGTGGTTACTCAGATGCCGATTGGGCAGGATCACCCTCGGACAGACGCTCTACTTCTGGTTATTGTGTCTTCTTCGGAGGAAACTTAATCTCATGGAAAAGCAAGAAACAACCTGTTGTTTCCCGATCTAGTGCAGAAGCTGAGTATCGTGCAATGGCAAATACTACCTGTGAGTTGATCTGGTTAAAGCAGTTGATTCAGGAGCTTCATCTTTGTGAACAGAAACAACCCATGACACTCATATGTGATAATCAAGCTGCGCTACATATATCCTCTAATCCTGTTTTTCATGAGAGGACCAAACATATAGAGATTGATTGTCACTTCATTCGGGAAAAGATTCAGTCAGGAGAAATCAAGACAGCTTTTGTCAACTCGTCTAATCAACTAGCAGATGTTTTCACTAAAGCTCTTAGAGGTCCTCGGGTTGAATACATTTGTAACAAGCTTGGTGCTCATAATATATACGCACCAGCTTGAGGGGGAGTGTTAGAATATTAGATATGATATGATTAGATTTGATTAGATATGATTGGATTCTGTCTTATCCGTAAATAGTCTGAATGTATTCTGACTGTATTAGGATTAGGTTTGGATTAGGTTTGGGCCTTACACTTAAGCCCATTAGGGTCTCTATATATTGTAACTCCCTGACACAGATCAATATACAACGTATTCTCTTACATTTAACTGTTAATTTATTTCAGACATTTAAAAAACCACTCCTCATTAAACCTTACTAGCGAGGGTAGGGGTGAAGGAAATGATATACTGTGTTTTTTTCTTTCACATATCCCTTGAAAAATGAACCTTGAGGGAGGTCTTTGTGTAATATGAAACTAAGCCCATTTCAATCCTAAACCCTAAATCTTCAACGAGGACAAATTAATTTGCTATTATTGTCAAATGGTTTGTTCAGAATAACATACTACTGCACATTATCAATTTAAGGAATTTCAAATCAAACGGGTTCGTATGAAAAAAATAATTGTGATTGATATGCGTAGAAAATTTAGGGACTGATTTTCATTTGCTTGCCAGCATGTGAACAAGGGGAATCCATTAATTCCAATCCTTGGTTCTCAAATGAAAGTAGATTATATGGATTATGGAGGACAAACTTCAATATAAAACATATATTTGAATGGAGTGCACTGGCACCAGAAGATTGACAGAATATACTGGCAAAGAGGTGAAAATATTGAATGAGAGAACTATAGGCGAACATGCAAGTGCTAGAGATGATATTTTTGGTTATACTCTTCTAATGTTGGAAAGATTATAGGCTAAGTAAGTTTGACATCCACAGACCATATTTAATCCCGCCCCGTAAATTCATTGTTAGCTTTTATTCATACTTCATCAGGTAAGACATATTGTTACAATTTATGAAAATCAATTTATTTCTCTAAACTACAAAGGAAGAGAGTCGGTTGTTAATACTTAAACTGGGTTTAACTGGAGTCAACGATGGTTAATATGCAGATGTTTTATTTTTCTATTTATCATCAGTTTATATACAGCTAAAGTTGTTTTATGCTCAAAGTAACTAATTATTTCTTATCGAAAGGTCCCTCTCTCTTTGGCAATAAGAGTGGCTTCCCTCAGAGGGACATTGCGTTTGCATATAAAGCCACCTCCATCTGATCATTTGTGGTATGGTTTCACATCAATGCCAGACATAGATTTCAACTTGGAGTCGTCTGTTGGAGAACATAAGATAACTAGTGGTCACTTTGCTTTGTTCCTGGTCAATAGGCTAAAGGTATGATAGCTCTCTTTCCATTTGATTTATAACTTGTGAAAGAATTCAAGTTAAAGACTACTCTTCCCCCATTTTTTGATAAGGGTTTTCAAGTTTTTCTAATATTTTGTTCATTCCCATGTCTTTTTTGTCTAAACTATTTATAGAAATATTTTACATATACCATTGTATCATTAATTATATACAAAGAAAACAAATCTTTGAATTTTCTTTTTCATCCTTTTGTCAGTTTATTTGGACTAAAAGCCTAGATGTTCTCTCATTAAAAATGTCTACCTTTCTCTTAAGTGCGTGACCATAGAATTCTGGCTTTGTTAATATCTGTTTTTCTTTTATCTGGGTGGGACATTAATTTCCTTCTTAATACCCTTGCTTCTCTCTCTCTCTCTCTCTTTGCGTGTGTTATACAGCAAATAAGAGTCCATAAATTATAATGAATACATTTGTATAAGTTATAGTGCATACCTGCTCCTATATTAGCCACTCCAAATTTCAGATGTCTATAATGAATACAGTCTTATGTCTGTAAGTTATAGTGCAAATTTCAGATGGGGTAAATTATCTTTACTGGAAACCTACATCCATGGATTGATCTCTCGTACGTATCACAATTAATGCAATTTCTATACTTCATCAATCAATAGTAATTTCTGTGTACAGGCTGATACATCTTAAGGTGGGACCTAAGATACAATAGATGTTATGAACACCACTAATAACCAAACTTATGTTTAATTAGCCAAATAGTCCACTTGCTAAAAATTAGATTCAGTTGAAAATTGTTTAATGAAAATAATTTCACGTTAACTGTTGAAACTAGCACTCATCCTAAGCACTTAAGTGGTTAAACTTGTCTCTTATTTGGTTAGTTATGCATAAATTTGAATTTGATTCTTTCCTTTTAGTTAAGAACAAGAGAAGGGTTTTCATGATAGAAAGATGGATCTGGATCCTCTAATGTGAAAAATCACATGACCATGTAATGTGGGAAATCATAACCATACAAAGGTAGATCAATGGTAATAAAGGAGGAGAGAGAAAAAATATTAAAATAGGTAGTTACAAAATCATAACCGTTGATTTACCTTTGTATGGTTGTGATCTTCTCACATAACCATGTCATGTTTTTTTTCACATGAAAGGATTCATTTCCGAGAAATATACAAATTATATTGTTGAGGGGCCCACTATTACCTGTGTTTTGGGTCCATCAATTTATAAAAAACACTTTGTGTCTTTCTCTCTCATAATAGAATCCTCTCTTATTATTGAGATAAAGGAGAGAATCCATTTTTCATAAATTTGATTGGAAGTGCAAAACGGTAAGCAATTCATACTATCTAACAACAACAAAAAGAAAACCATTTCTCACTAGTTGGGTGTTACGGATGTAGGGCCCAAAGCCCTGAAGTTATATTCTAGAAGATTAAAAGCATAAGTAGTTAGGGGTGGTTAGACAATTGGTTGGTTAGAAAAAAGGGTAGTATTGGAGACAATGTATAAATAGGAGTTGGGTCTTGAATTTCAGTTGGGAGAAACCACATTGGTCTCTAGTTCTTGTATCGTTTTCAGAAATAAATGAAAGTGCATTTTCTTTCTCTTTCTCGTTTTCTTTCATCCTGTTGCATTTTCTTGTTGCTTTCTGTCACTGAGAGATTCCAGAGCTGGACAGCGGGGTCTGCTACATGGATCAAATGACACCATTGTACTTTTTCAAATATCAAACTTTTAGAAAGGCCATTTAGATCAAGATCTTTCTTTATGATTTTTGTTGGAGTTTTCCTTGGTCTTTCGGTCTTTTTCTACCTCTTTTACAGGTTATCCTCCTTATGATCAATTCTTCATATTGGGGCCTTTATTGGTCTTCTTACATGACCAAATCATCTAAGGCGAGATTCTGTCATCTTTTCCTTAATAGATGCTACTCAATCTTTCTCTTGAATACATCGCTTTCTTTTTCTTTGGAGTTTGCTTAGAAGTGCATTTCCTCTCTGTTATGTCTTATCTCATCTTTAACACAAGCATTCTTTTGTTGACATGTCTATGTATACACCAAATAGTTGTGCATTGACAGGATTGTTGACATCCTTAATTTTGGGTACAATTATAACGGACTGAATAATGTGTTTAAACTTCACATCTCTTTAGAAAGGATAAGAGCAGCTTTCACTTGCAAACTGAATTTAGTTTTATTCTGCAGACAGTAATTCGGGAGACCTTAGTGCTCCCAAATTGTGAAAGCGTATCTATCCCATGGATGTTAGCCGAAAAGGATGATTGGGTTCCTCGGAATGTTGCTCCATTCAAATGGATTAGCCAAAAATTTGGGAATGAGACTTCCACTTCAATTGATACCAATAATCAACCTTCTGGTGGAGTGGAAGCTAGTGCAAGCATCTCAAGTAATGGTCGAGAGTATAAACAACAAAAACCTAAGAGTGCTGAGTCTAGTCAAGAACCAGCTAGCAAATCATCAGATTCGGTAGCACTTCCATTAAGTTCCTCTCGTTCACCAACACTAGAGAGAAGCAGGAGTTTGGAAGAACTGACAACGCCTTTGTTAGAGAATGACAAATCACAAGAAACTGGAGATTTGGAAGATCTTAGGACACCCTCATTACAGAATGACCAACGACTCGAAACTAAAGTACGAGCCATGGAGAATAATTCTGAATTACAATCACTACCCGGAAGTGTGGTGTTGGAGAAAGAAAATCATTCTATTGAACAGGAAGATGGACTGCCAAAGAAAATGGGGAGAAGGGAAAAGATGCTTGATTTAGGGAAGAAGATGGGCGAGAAATTGGAAGAGAAAAGGCGTCACATCGAAGAAAAGAGTAGGCACATTGTTGAGAAGATGCGAGGACCATGAGAAGTATAAACCAAGTAAATGGCAGAATGCATATTTGTTGTTCATGATCTTTTAATCATGTGAGAGACAAGTACTGTCCATACAAGGAAAGAATGTGGGGAATCAGATATTGTTTAATCAATGAGTTTTACACTTTCTAGGTGCTTAGAAAATCGAATGGAACTAGATATACGTTAATTATCCTTGCACAGAAAGGATTGTCTATTCATTCCATGACTTGGTCTTGTAAATTTGCCATAGCCACAGGTTACGATAGAAAATTCGTTTAAATTGTTGAGTTCAGCCTTGGCAGATCTAGCTTCATAAACTGGCTTACGAATTTTTTTTTTTTTTTTTTTTTTTAATACCAACCTTAATTACCTCTTTGAGATAAGTAGATTCTTCCGGGTATCTTCACAAGCTTCTGCTGCTATGAGACTAATCCCATGGTGAGTCGAGGATTAAGGTCCCCTCCCCAAGATGGCATTGGTAAAAATTAAATTGAGATCATTTCTCATCCACTCAGTTTTATTGTACTAACTGAGCTAAAATCTCTTCTGTTATCCTTATTTGACATAAGTTTTTGCGCTTTACAGGGAAAAAACCCCTAGCTGGTACAAAATTGTTATTATTCTTAAACTTTTTTTGTTGTGTAAAAATTACACCATTTCAATCCCTACACTCGACGCATTGTGTACGGGGCTTTATGAAAGGAACTTTTATAAATAAAACAATTAGTGAGCAAATTTGGGTAAGAAAAAAAAAGTATGGAAGATTTACGTTTTAGGGTCATAATTATATGCAATTAGCACAAGTGGCTGCATTTAAAATCACAAATGCACAATTTATTGGGTTGGTACAAACCAAAGATTTATACTAGCACCTGAATATTCTTTGAATACCCTCTGAATGTTTTCCACCGTGATTGAAGCATCTTTTTTCCATTATTCTCACCCAACAAATCTTTAAATGATCACCAACCATCATTTGAGGGAAACCTTAAAACAATAAATTTATGGTTCCTTGTCCGCATTTAATTTATTTCTCCTGAGACTTCATTTCTCACTCTTCAATTCCTAAGACAAGTTCGGTTGAAGTGGCATTAAATCTATAAGAAATCACAAAGCTACCTATACAACTATAAGTTTACTCTGGAATTTGTAGCAGTGACATTAACTTTTAAAAGAAATCACAAAAGAACTCCAGTGGTTAGTGGTGGAGTGAGGAAAGGGTTACAGAACGAATTAAATTTATATAAATTTTTAATAATGAATATGTTAAAGAATAATATAAATCATTTAAAGGTTATCACCCAACACTTTAAGGTTTTGAGTTGAATTGGCTCTTTACATAATATCAGAGCTTCAGTGATCACAAATTCGATTCTCACCGCTCCCAACTTGTGAAATTAAATAAGCATTAAGGTAAATCAAAAATTGGACCTATGCAATAATCTACCTTTCAAGCTCAAAGGGCCCTTAAGTGAGGGGTGTGTTAGAGAATAATATAATCCATAAAAAAGATTATCACTCAGTACCTTAAGATTTTAGATTGAATTAATTCTTTATTTTTAATTTTTATTATATATTTAATGTACATTCCACTTCTGAATTTAAAAAAAAAATTAAGTTGTAAGTGTCATTTATATTTTTTTCCATCATATAAATAGTTATAATTAAAATTTTAAAAGCAAAATTTTAAATTATAATTTCGCCTATCACCGCACTTCATTTGGAAGTGTCGCCATCTCATATAGCAAGCAGAATTTAGAAATGGTGCATTTTTGAATGTTCTGTCGTTCATTATTATACATGGTAAAAATTTCCATGTCAGATATAATGCATCAATTATCACTCATTACATTTGAATTTGTTCGGATTTAGGACACTTGGCACTTCTTAGATCAACTCACATTACATTCAGTGTTCTCTCCTTTTGCCTCCCACGTATTTTACTATTTATCTTCATATGGCCAAGGCTTATTGTGTTCAGAAAAAAATTGCATGTGCTTGATGTGCTCTAAGCTACATGATTGTTAAATGATTAAAGATTTGAAAAGCTTATTGCATTGAAATCAAGTTAGCCTCAGTGCAACCAAATTGTAGATACAATTAGAAGCTCATTAACAATTTAACTTAAACATTTATTCTTATAATTCCCATTGAAAATAATTCCAATTAAGAAAATTGAGTGGTTTGCCAATACATTTCTCATAAGTTGCAAAGTGGCTAATCTTGTTTATCTTCTCTGCCACTTGAAATTAAGAGCTTTTGGGAGTCAGGACATACATCTTACAAGCATGTGAACCTAATTCAGCAGAGATTTCTCCCGAAACCAATGATTGTGTTGAGTGCTGCAGAATTCATTACACACAGTCAAAACCACAGGAATCTTAAATGCTCTGCATTGTAAAGAACAAAGTAAGTCTATGTATCTTACCTTCCATAAATCTCTTGCATCAACTATAGTTCCTGGTTTCAGGCCAATGTCAGACCAGGATGCAGTAACTGTTGCATTTGATGAACTTCTATTCCATAAGACCACTGCTACCTTGTTACCTTTTAGAGGACCTGCCCACACCTGACCCAATACCTTTCTATTAATTAGAAGCTTGTGTTTGAGAAATTTGACATATATTTGGCACATGTATATTTATGTGTAAAGATACACACTCTCACAAATGATTTTGTCTTCAGGGGTACATCAATTTGTAATGTATGATAGATGAGATAAATGCACTTAACAATAGTTTGGTAGCAGTATCACAGTTTGTAGTGAAATATGAAAGCATAAAGTATCATTACAAGAGATGATGGTGAGAAACTAAAAGGCACATATAGAGACAAGAAAAGAAAAAGGGGAAAGCAAAGAAACTACCTCCAAATCATTATTGCTTTTCACCTTCTTTCCTTGAACTCCAAGTTTGTCTGCAATACCACAAGAAGATTATAAGTTTTAAAGCATTCTCTGATGAAGAAATCAATGCATTTTCCTTTCAAGAAAGCTGGGTAATTTTTTTGGGTTCGTGCCTTGGTTTACCGCAATGACTTCCGGGTTGCTTATAAGTTTATATGTAGTGTTATCCATTGCTCGAATATCACAACCAACCAATAAAGGAGCCTAGTTATACACAAGAAAATAGTTAAACAGCCAACTACATTTTCCTGAAAGCATGTTATAAGGCAATGTCTCAAATGCAAATATCTAAACTTATTTCATTGTACCTTAGCCAATGCCCATATGCTGAAATGGGCACGATATTCTTCTGTGTTCATGCCTCCATTTCCCACTTCAAGCATGTCAGGATCTAATATCCCAAAGAGAAGTTGAATATATCAGGATCTAATATTGGAGTATGATGTAATTGCAATGTTCTGAAGTTCAATGGCATACATAAACAATTAACTTTGTAACTAGTTTAATTAATTACCATTCCATCCTCCAGGTCCAGCATAAGATGCCCATTTGTCATTTTCATCTGCTATGGAAGTCATACTAGGGAAAGGGGTAAAATTAGTTCACAATATGAAAAATGAATAAAAGAAACTGAGTAATGCAATGAATGAAAATGAATTCCTGAGACTTGATACTTTCTTTAGCTAAATTACCAATATCTTTGTCAAGTGTTGAGTGTAAGAATGAATGTGAGATAACATATTCATGCTCACCTAGTCCACTTATCCTCAATATCCCCTGTTGTTCTCCAACTATTTCCCACACTTTTGGCCCAAGTTGCTGGGTCTTCCCATCCCCTATGTTTGAGAAAGCAATTAATCATAAACAATGTAGTTTCTGGCAACTTTAGAAGGAATGAGCAAATGTAATACTAATTTTACTTTCTCTTCTTATGAGAAACATCATCACCAATTGGACTCACCATTCACACATAGAGAAGAAGATTGGCCTTCCAGTTTTTAATAAAGCTTCACTCATTGGTGGATACCTGTTTAATAAAATGTTTGAATTTCAGGTTTTTATAAGCATGTAGATATATATAGATATACTTATTTGCATTTAAAGGCAATAAATACCTTTTTCTGACGCTTATACCATTATTTTCACAATTATCATACTTCAAATAGTCAACTCCCTAAAGTAACATTTAAATAAGATATTAGTTAACATTATATAGGATATGTAAGTTGATAGAAATGCAAAATGACTTTCAAATGAATGGCATCATACCCAGGAAGCAAATGTTTTTGCATCTTGTTCTTCATGTCCCAGTGATCCAGGCATACGTTTACTGCATGTTAGATTTCTGCAGAGAAATTGTAAGTGATCAGAAATGCTTGAATAATCATTGACATGCATGCTTAAGATCAAAATCTCGATGGTTTAATGTGTTTATACCCTGCATCTGAATAGATCCCTAACTTTAAACCTTTCTGGTGAACATAATGAGCTAGAGCCTTAATTCCTGAAGGAAATGTTGAAGCCTTGGGAACCATATTTCCCTAACATCATGTTAAATTTGTCAGTGATATCGAAAATGAATATTGTAATCTATAAAATTTAAATTAACTTGCATTTAGATTTTAAGCAAACAAAGAATCAAATAAATAAACCTAAAACAATATATGAAAATTTGTATTAATTATTTTCATTTTTTCTTTTATGAAAGTTGGTTTATGTTTTTCTTATCAGCAGTCATGTACAACAATGGATAAAAGACCATAGAAATTAACAGAGAGACAAAATTTAAGTACATTGAATAATGATTACCTTATGGTCTCGATTAAGTTCAGCCCAACAGTCATCTGAAAATTATGCAAAATAATACAATTAAATTTTTTTCTGTATAAATAAAATATAAATTATTTAATGTAATGAATTCACTAATAATAATAATTAGGTATCTACCTAAATTAATATATTTGTATCCCAAAGCCGCAAGGCCCGTTGACACCATAGCATCAGCTGAAATAAACATAAATCCAGATTAACTAAATGATATATATCTGAAATTATGAATATAATAACTTCATGGACTTCCAAATGCACATAAACATACCTGTTTGCCGAATTAGACTTTCATTAATATCACAGCCAAAGTGGTTCCAACTATTCCATCTGATCATCATTCATATATAATATTAGGATACCACATATACACTTTCATGAATTTAACTGGAAACAAAATTATTTCATGTAGTCACTTTAACACATTTTCAGCTAAGGCTCCTCTTTGGTACACCACAAATTTTTATTAAAAAAAAGGGAAAAATTGATCAATGAATTTAAATCTTCTCTGCGGGAAAAAAAAAGGTTAATTTTATTGAATGTTGCAATGAAGTTTACAACTATCTATGTCATCATTCGGCCAAGAAGTCTAAGTAATGATGAACACAAACGTAAAACGGCATACTTCATTGTAGCTTAAATTACAAGACAAGTGCCACGGCCCACCACCATGGACCTGCCATGATAATTTTTGGTGTGTTTGGTAGGTGAATTGTTTTGCAAAAAGTTATGTCCTTATGGTTTGCTTCATAATCACTTATATTTTTGTGGTTTTTTTTATCATATATGTCCATGTGCTTTGTAAAAAATAAAAAATCACAAGGACACGTGATAAAAAAAACATAACCATAGGTGCATATATGATAAAAAAAATCACAGGAACATAAATGATTCTGAAATACATTGATGAACTTTTTCCAATTTTTTTAAGAGTGCTAAGAAAGTGATAGATGAGTTTCACAAATGACCATGTTTTGTATTCCATAGAGAAATTTGCTTAGGAAAAAAAAAAATAATGGAGAAATTTTATAGTGTAAAAATGAAGAAAAATGTTCACTTAAAAATACCACCTTAATGGTGATATTTTAATTTTTCGATAATATTTTAGCTTACCAAATAATTTTATTTTTTTAACTTTCCCACATTTTTCACAATTTCCCTGTAATTATATTTTTCTGATAATTTTTTTTTTTCTCTACCGAATGCCCACACAATATATTGCCAACATTTAAGAGCCTTTTGAATCCACTACCTACCTTTCTGGATGGATTTAAAGTATTTGGGCTGTAAATCTCTGACAGCACGGTATCATCGAGAGTGTCATTGGATAATTTTCTTAATATTAACAATGGTTAATATATTAATAGGTCTAGTATTTCTACTTATATAAAGTTGTATCATTTTAAATGAGAGAAAAAGATAAATAATAAAAATTATGAGAAAGAGAGTGAGAGGTTTTATTTTTTAAATTTAAATTTTAAATAAAAAATATTAATTTTAATTAAAAGTACTATCATCCTTTAGAAAGATAAATATTTTTTCCTATAAAAAAAAAATCAATATAAACAGCTTTATGTACATAAGTTTGATAATAAGGATGTGTTTAAAATTTTAGAAAAATATCTGCAGTATTACTATAGTATTGAAAAATCATTACATCATTTACTAATTTTTTTTTGTAAACACATCATTTACTAAAGTTAAAAAAAATAATTACACTTATTCTACCCAACTATTCATATTAAATGTTATTTAAATCTTATTTCTCCAATTTTTAATAAAAGAGTACATGCTTTTGTGGTACAATCAAGATGCACTCATAATCTAGAATAATTTATGGTTAAAAGTTATTTATGAAAATATGTTCAAAGAACAAATAGTTCAATGTAAATTAGTTCATGATTAAACCATTTTGTCTCACATTAAATGGCTAAAGAAAGATGTATATTTGCATCAAGAAGAGAGCAAACATAAAAATTGATCTCAAGGAAAGAAAGAGGTAAAAGAAATGATGAAGAGGCTTACCCCATGGGGGGTGTTTGGCCGAGTCCATTTTCGATCAAGTATCTCCTAACTTGGTCATTGGACATGGAGATTGCTCTAGTTCTGTTCACCAATGAGCGGGTAGCAGCAGAAGAGCTTGCATTCAAGAGCACAAGAATACACAAGGCAAGCACTGTAGCCACTCTTAACCTGCAGCTACAAACAGAGGATAAAGAATGCATTGCCATAATACTATAAATATAAACGTATATTTGTGTCAATATGTGTTTAAGAACCAAAGCTGCTATGCTATGTGAAGAAAGGAAGAGTATGTTGGCAATTTATAGAGAAAGTCGAGGTGAGATTTTGATTGTCCCAATGGGCCAACTTGTCCACTGGATGCATATAATAATGTTTATTCTAATACTGATACATCATTCCGTTACTATCTTTTTCTTGTATTTTTAGACAAAAGAATTATAAATGGAATGTCATTTTGCTGCCATTACAACAGAAATTTCGGCAATATATGATCACAATATATATATATATATATATATATCTCGGTATGTACAATAACACTCGTTAAATAAATTCAAGGATTGGGTTGTTGCAAATCTGCATTCCATAACAATACTTGACAATTTCCTTTCTTACACGTGAAGTAAATTGACTTAATTAAACAAGGAAAAAAAAGTTGTCATTTTTTTTTTTTGGTAAACAAAAAGTTGTCATTTTAAAGGATATAAATTGTGTTCTTTTAATTTTTAACACTCTGTATCACGGGTAATACATAATTATAATATCAAAAATTACTTTTTTTTTCTCTCTCCTCAGTCACTTCAGCTGACATGGAAAGAGAAAAAAAAAATAACTTTTCATTTGAGTAGGAGGTGAAGCAAAAGTAAGGATGAAAAAAAATTTCTCCAGTGAGGAAAAACTAACACACAAAATCAGTAAAATTAACCCAACATTTTCGAAAAAAATTGGCCTACCAAACATCTTTTAGTAACTTATCTGAAAAAAAAAATCCCAATATATTCCCAGAAATTATTCTTTCTTAGTAAAAAAAAATTCTTCTCTACCAAACGCCCCATATTTTCCTATGTCAATCTTATCATGAATTAGATTTGATATTATCAATTGGATTAGACTTGGTATATGAAGAATTGTATAAAAGGACTTTAATTTAATTTTGAGTATCCCCTCATGGTTAAAACTTATAATAGCCTTTGGTTTCCTCATATGCATTTTTTATTTTAACAAAATACCTTTTATTTCTGTCTATTCATTGTAAATTCATTACTTAAAATTATGCAGATAAGCACAGAATTTAGGGTTGGTGTATAGGATAAGATAAGGCATAATAGTAAAAGACTTAATAGTATAATGCTAATTATATAAGATCTAATTAAATTTTAACACTATCTAACATTTGATATGATATTGTATAAGATAAAGTATTATATAAGATGATCATATCCAGGGTTTGGTAAGGTACAATATAATACTAGATAGGATAAAAATAAATATTTTTGACAAAAATATCTTAATAAAAAAAATTTGGATGAAATGAGAAAACCAGAGGCCAAAAAGCAAAAGGGTAAGCGCTTCGTCAAACTCAGACGGTGACAACAAAATATCGTCAAGGCTCCTAAAATCACCTTGGGTGCATTATTTCTTCATCAATTTTCTCATTACCCAAAAAATGGGGGCAAAAAAAAAGAAACCTAAATACATTCTTTTGGGGTTTTAGATGATGTTATAGTGAACTTTGCCAGAAGTGGAGGACCTAGGGACGGAATGTTAATAAAGATTGTTTTTTATTTTATTATTTATTTATGTTCAGTATATCCAGTGACTTGTTATGGTGATAATCAATGGTTTTTCTTTCTTTGAGAAGTTAGGGCTGATTAGCGGTGTTTGTATAATACCTGAACCAGGATCTACGTGCATCGTCGATTCAAACTCGTGGCAGAATAGAGGGGCTACCTGTAACATCCCCAACCTCGAGCCGGTTCAATTAACATGCATATGATACTTAACAGAAACAGCGGAAGACTTAACTTACGAAAATACGAACTAACTTTTTCTTTTTCTTTAATCTTTTTTCACATGACATATCACATTGCATACTTCTTCTAATTTAATTCTTATTTTACGGAGACGAAAATCGAACAGAGTAACCTCTGTAAATCGGACAACTGGGGATTTTCCAATCCCACTCTCAAGAGTTCCTGATAGACAGTTTAAACAATATATATTTCCAGAAGTACCAGTCATGCAAATATACTCAGATACCCATCTATGGGCGCATGCTGAACTTGGCTCCGTGCCACAAATCTAATAGCATGCAATCCAATACATAACATAACTGAATACTACATAGTCATATCATCATGCCTGAATACATAAATGTACATGTATGAACACTATGCAACAATACATCTTTTCCAAAAATACGTCTAAAACAAATAGTAGCATCCGACCACCCAGAACTCCACATCCTCATACTAGTACCTCTAGCCACGGTTAGTGTCCTGGTCCCATGAGGCTCTTCAATTAACTGTGTTCCTGAAATCATATCCCCAAACGGGGTTAGAGACGAATCTCTAGTAAACTCCAGGTTTATGGAAAACCCTCCATACCCTGGGCTCACTTCCTGCATGACAGTCAGATACATAATATACAAAACATCATATAAGCAATTATCATAACTGAACAAAGCATATATACATATCTTATCAAAGACAAACGCAGTCATTCCCAATGGATGACCCCAAGCGAAAATCAACGCACGTAACAAATATCTTTTACAAAAATCATCACAATACTCATATCAGAACAAACGTGTTATATCAGAGACGTACGCAATCGTTCCCAAGGGATGACCCCAAGCGGAAATCAACGTACGTAACAAATATCATTTACAAAATCATCATACATATCCCATAAAACATGTCATATAATCAAATATCATAACTAAACAAAACATATACACATATCTTATCAGAAACGTACGCAGTTATTCCCAAGGGAGGACCCCAAGCGGAAATCAACGCACGTGTTCCCAAGGGAGGACCCCAAGCGGAACCAGAACATATCAGAGGCGTACGCAGTCATTCCGAAGGGAGGACCCCAAGCGGAAATCAACGCACGTGTTCCCGAGGGAGGACCCCAAAGCGGAACCAGAACATATCAGAGGCGTACGCAGTCATTCCCAAGGGAGGACCCCAAGCGGAAATCAACGCACGTGTTCCCGAGGGAGGACCCCAAAGCGGAACCAGAACCTATCAGAGGCGTACGCAGTCATTCCCAAGGGAGGACCCCAAGCGGAAATCAACGCACGTGTTCCCGAGGGAGGACCCCAAAGCGGAACCAGAATATATCAGAGGCGTACGCAGTCATTCCCAAGGGAGGACCCCAAGCGGAAATCAACGCACGTGTTCCCGAGGGAGGACCCCAAAGCGGAACCAGAACATATCAGAGGCGTACGCAGTCATTCCCAAGGGAGGACCCCAAGCGGAAATCAACGCACGTGTTCCCGAGGGAGGACCCCAAAGCGGAACCAGAACATATCAGAGGCGTACACCATCAGTCCCGAGGGAGGACCCCAAAGCGAACATCCGGGTACTATACAATCAATGGCCAGATATTGTTACAGAAATCATATTACAGAAGTCATATCATAACAAAACATATCATATTAACACATATAAAAGTAAATACATCAAAACAAAACATATCATATTATCATATAGCTCTATATGAATGCATCTATATCATATATCTCATACATATCATACAACCTGACCACAGTCCGTACACTATGGCGGAACACAAAGTAGGAGCGAACCCCATAAACATAGAGCTTACCTCTTGGAGCTTTACAATTTGCTTACTTGAAGAACAAGCTATTTATCTTGCTCCACGAGAATCCAAACGTTCACAGTCTCTAGGCACACCTAGAGAAGGAATTCAACACAAAACTCAATAAAATGATATAATGCCATGTAAATATACAAGACACGTACTTTATTGTTTATTTTCTTTTTACTTAATCATATTAAGTCATGAGTGGGTGGTTCTTTGTTCAACAAATCCCTACAAAATTCCACATGTTCACTTAGTCTTAGGATAGTCCCAAAAGGCCTTTAGAACACTCATTACTCCTCTTACCACCTAAAAGCCTATTTTTCCCAATTTAAGGCAGAATGCCCATTACAAAGGAGCTATAAGATTTCTCTTTGTCTAGTGCCTAAACCCAAGCTTAGCCACCTATATAAATTATTTTACACATATAAGTGTTCTTACTTTGCGAAACAATATCTCCGCACATATACTTCCTTTGAAAATGGCCAAAACTCATTTTAAGGCCATACAAAGGAGCTACCTTATTTTCTTTTTTATTTCACCAAAGCGAAGGTCTATACACCTTAAAATATTATTCCACGCATAAAATTATGCTCGCTTTGTAAAACAGTAACTCATAGCACATACTTCCTTTGAAAATGGCTAAGAGGCACATACAAGAAATCATGCCAACTTCATGATTCCAATGCTTTAGTCCATCAAATTCAAGCTTATCACACACCTTTAATCCAAGATTCATTAATTCATATATATACAGTATTGTTCCTCTCTACAGTACTATTCATGTATACGTCATTATTCACGTATACGACACTATTCAAAAATACGTTATCTTTAATTTTTTTCAAATACATTTTCACCGTTAAAATTCTCATCTAAACACTTTTCTCAACATGAGCTAAACTTGAATCAAGCTCTAACATGCTCAATCAAAACAAATTTTCAAAATGAAAACCTAAATTCAATCTTCATAAAAACATGAAAAGGAAGGGAATTTCTTACCACAATGCACTCTAGAACAAGGGAGAGATGAGTTCCTAAGCTCCCATGGCCTCAAGCTCCATCAAAATCTATCTTTTCCATGAAATTCGAAATCTTTAGGGGAGAAGATCTCTCTCTACAGTGAACCCCACCCAGAAATATTGGTACCAATAGGTTCCTCTCGAAATTTCTCACAGGTTTGGCTTTGGAACGGAGTGATTTGGAGGTCTCTAGCTCAAGTTATGAATTTTGGAAGATTTAAAACCAAAATCTCCATTCTTTCTTTCCCTTACTGTCGTCGGATGAAACGTAGAAGAAGGAGAATAGTGACTTAATTGAGTCAATTAATGAGTTTACTTTATCAGTGGGTATAAGCTTATCTATCTACACACCT